TTGGTCGAATACAGAATTTATTTATGAACAATAACAAAAAAGTTCTGTACAGTGGGTACAGAAAGGATACTGAACACATACCTACTTCCATCAATTTACTTGGAATCAGACTTTAAAGGAAGTCTTATAAATGTAGAATTCGGGGATAAATAAGTATATCATTTATACAAGTTAAAAAAAAAAAAACTCTCCTAACCTCAATAGGTAAAAAGTTCCTATTAAGAAGTCCTTCCTGGTATCTAAAATAAGTTAGATATTGCCTCTGGAGAGGAAGGGGGAAAATATAGTTTTATATACAATAGAGAAAACACTAGCAAAGACTAACGTCATAGTTAAGCATGGTTTATGGAATACTTTTTCATCCTTGATAAATCATTGCTATGACTTCCTCTAATTTGAGAGCAAATTTTTGATGGGAAGTGAATTAGAGTCAGTTTGCAGATTTACATGCTCAATTTTAAATTTACCTACTCAATGTCTGTGTGAAAATTTCTAAGGAAAGAATTCGAAGTTGGGTGAACACAAAAAGAAGATTAATTTAAATCTGAATTTATCTGGATACCAACAGGGGCGGATCCCATGGGAGAGGGTCATCCATTAATCAAATAGGAACTCTTCACCTTGGAGTCCTACTGGCTGCACCACATCTAGGTGAGTGAATTCCACAGAGAGGGCACAAGGGGGAGCAGACAGGGTTAAAAGGTCAAGAACAGAGGAAAGCCTCTAACAAGAAAGATGAAAGATGTTCTGAGACTCTAGAAAACATCATCTGATAGAGGGAAGACACAGCTTATGGTTTCTGAACAATGCCAGGCTTTCTTTTCAGTGTCTCTCTAATTCCTATTCCACGTATTCATTGATATGTAAAACATGGACTTACACTCATTGCTTTCAAATTCACAAAATCTTTTTTTTTATTTCAAAGTTCAGTCTCCTGAAGACTTTACTATCAGTGAATACAGAGGACTTCAACAGAGTAGGAGGGCTTTAATCAAACTTACAGAGTCTGTTTAAATTATTTTCATTTGTGTAGTTTCCCCTTTTCTGATTTCCTCCCTATATCATAAGAAATGCAGCGGTGTTAAAAAGAGTATTCTATAGCACTTCATGAAGTCCAGACATGCAGATGTATCTCTATTTGAAAACATTTTAATGCTTTGTTTAGATGTTTTAATGTTTTGTTTAAAAAGTTTTCTTCTGATAAAGCCACAGCTTAAGGTAGAAAGCTGTTCTACAAAACAGGTTACATCAAAAACTGAAAGGTGCAGAAGTCTGTTTCTGTGACTTATACGACATACTCCCATTAAAGAGAAAAAAAAAATTACCACGGTTATAATCTTTATTATAAAGTTGCTTAAAAAGCGGACAAAACAGGGACAAAACCTTGTGTTTATAGCTCTTACACAAACATAAAACTTAAATCTATACATTAATATAAGGCAAACGATAAAGCAATATAATTAATATGGTGGATGATATTGCTTGTTGAAAGTCAATTACAGGTATTGGGTTTAGAGTGGGAGGATGTAGCTTCTCATATTGTCCTCAATTCAATCTGTTTCTACACACCTGCTCACATAAATATAGTATTTGCATAATTCATTAGTATTAATATATTTTAGGTTCTTTTATTATTGTTACTTCAGTATAATCAAATCCACTGAGCAATCACAAAAGCCAATTTTAATTTGATAGTACTAGGTAACTCTGTAAAGCTGTTCTTTTCTTCCCTTGAAGATAAATTCAACTTTTTATAGTGTTAATTGACTCTACTTTTGTTTGGTCTCTAATTCAATAAGTACTGCATTTGGGTACAGAAAAATATTTTTGATGCTAATGAAGTAAAGTGATTTGACAATTCAACATGCAGGGTGGATATGGTGTAGTTCATCTGGGTTCAGTTCCTTGTATTATTATACCACGCATGTACCTTGTGATCAATTCATTTCCCATCACTTTTCTTTGTACAAACTACCATGGAACCTTGGTTCATTTGGTGTGCCTTAAAGTCATTGGCCTTTCACTTGGCACAGACTCAACAGCAACCACCAACAGTAACTAGAACTATAAGCAATGGCAGTAATATTGCAATACAAAAGTAGAAGTACAAGATGTAGAACTTAGTTATATCATTACAATGAAAGAGCAAAAATTTTTAAAAGTTATCTTAGAAGCTAGTGGATCTCTAAGAATATGTCCATATCTTGGGGTGCAATTACTATTACTGCTGCTAAGGGAAGTTTTCATGATCCTCACTTATGCATTACATAAACATGTATGATACTCTATTTTTCTGGTGAGAAGTAAGTTTGCTATAACTTTGCCCTGAAAGAATATTTTCTTATTGTGGGAGAACAATCACATGATTTAACTGTGTCAAAGTGACCTTTCTTTTTCTGGAGAAGAGAACAATAACTTTGAAGACATGGCAACTAAATAAAATCTTTTGGAGAATTATTCAGTTAGTGAGTTATAAAAGAGTACGGCTACAAATATAAATGCATTCAATTATATAATGCCAGCTTCAGAGGAGCACTTGGAGTTTAAAGGGAAAAAAAAGACATGAGAAGAAATAATGAGTTCATCATTTTAAGTTGTAAACACTGATAGTTATGGTGAAGAAAAGTAAAAAATAGATAGGAAAATCCATTCAAGCACCTAAGAGCTTGAGGAAGTGTTTGATTTCAAGCCAAATGATTAGGCTACCTTTGTTCTATTCTAATCAGAGGATAAAGAGCTAATAAAGAAATAATTTATAATCATAGGCATTAAATGAACAGTTAATATTAGCTAAACTAATTATTTTTATACAAGATAAAGTTGAATAAAATGCTACTTTAATTTTCCTTTAATGTGATGATAGTGGTATTTAAAGATGTTTAGACAGATTGAATTATGTAGAAATGGGAGGAAAAGGGAGATAAATTATGAAACCATTGCACTAGGTGTCTATTCCCTCTGAAGACTGAGGGAATGGAAAAAAATGAATATAAACTATAATTCAAAAGATATGACTTTATTATTGACTGCATATAAGGTATGCAAGAAGGAAGAGGTTTTTTTACTCTTAAATTTTGATGCTTTTTGAATAAGCATCATCACTACAAGTAACATAATTTTTTAATTTCAAAATATTAAGGGGGTACAAATGTTTTTGTTATGTAGACAGCTTGAATCAGGGCTATTAGTGTGTCCATCACCTGAATAGTGTCCATTGTATCCATTAGATAGGTTTTTTTCTCTCTCCTCCTCTCCCTCCCCCCATCCCAAATAAATTTTGTTGAGTTCTAGCTTTTGAGTATTAGGTAACTGAGTGCTTGATTTGTTATACTCCAGGGAACTCTTTTATTTATTTATTTTCTTCCTGTCCACTCCTTGCTTCTAATAAAAGGTTAAGACTAAACTAGTTCTCCTTCAGAAACATACAAAATCATATTTCATTTAGCTTTTGTTCCTAATAGTAAGTAATCAGAACTATGTAATATAAACTTTCTGCATGTTTCTCTCAATAAATATTTATTTTCCTCCAGCAATGACTTTTCAAGTATTTGGTGTTCTGAATTTGAGATCTTTATGAGACTTTTATTTTCAAAATAAAAGTTATTATTAATAACTTCAATATTAATTGTATTTTGATAAAATATATTATATATAGTATAAGTGTCTGTTGGGATCCCACGAAAAGTGGGGCTAGTTTTCTCCTTAATAAAGAACGATTGTTTTGGACGAGGGTTTTGACTCATGGCATCTTTCACCCTTCCTTGGCTAGCTGCTTGTCTCTGTGACACCTATAGCCTCTCAATTCCTTTCTTGGTGGAGCTGTTTAAGTCTGCCAGGGGAAGTTACCAGGAAACTCCACCAGGTTGACAGGCATAGCTGGCTAAAGGCTGCTGGGTTATATTAGGTTGAGACTCCAATGACTCAAGCAGGGTGCCTGCTATTTAATCTACTCCTATACCTGCAGCCAATGTGTTTTTATTTTCTGAAGTAATTATAATTACTCTCAAAGCCCTGCTACTTAGACTTGGTGAATGAAGAAACATCATTTGAAAAGACAAGTAGGCCATAGGTATCATGACAAAAAAATTGTAGGAGCCAAAAGGAAAGTTCTCCTCCTCTGAAGGTTCTCTGAAAAATCAACTCACAAAAGGCAGATTAATTGGAAAAAAAGCATACAAAATTTATTTAACAAAGATACAGGGGAAATTGTCCATTTTTATGCTGAGGTTCAACAAAGTATGGACAGACATGTAGAAATATGATTGGACAAAAAGGGTATAATCTAATGCTAATAAACTGAGTGGGGAAACCTGTCTGTCTAGATTCTTCTTGGCCTCTGAGTATGCATTCCTTTCTTCTGGATACAGGGGAAAAACCCTCTCTGGAATGGGAGTCTCACGACCTATAGTCAAACAAGGGAATTGTTTGACTATAGTCAAATCAGGTAATTTCTTTACAGCAAGTTTTTACACAGTATCACCTGAGTTGCTGGAAAAGATTTCTCACTTAAAAATCTATTGATTAGGACTGCTTTCACATTTGTCAGGTTTTCACTTGTGTGCTAGACAGAGGCACTTTAAGGGCCATTAACTAGTTTGAGGAGCACAAGACAATGAGTTTCAGCAGTCTTTGGTAACTATGGCAAGGAATTAAAATGCAGTTGAATTAAAAAGAGAGTACACAAATCATTAACTCAGAAAATTTGACCAAATCTTGTAAAACTCACTGGTTTCTGATTTAAAGAACTTCCTTAAAAAAATATTAGTAGCTATCACTCATCTATGTCCAAGTAAGAAAATACTAGTTTCCCTTGTGTAAGGTATAATGGTTTTGCTGTTTGGGCTTGTAAAAGTTTTAAAATATTGAAGAGTTAAGTACTTTCAGTTATGCTTGGAGTAATATTTCAAATTTTTATACATAGATTCCTAACAGTCAGAAAACCTAAAATGTTGAGTAAAACATATTGGAAGAGTATGGAAAAGTGTATAAAAATTAAAAGACTAAAAAACCCACTCTGTTTTAAACGTGTAAAAATAAATTGCATTCATTTGTGGGAATCCAGTGACTTTCTTCTTTCTTTTCTTTTTCCTCCCCCCTCCTCCGCCCCCGGTCTTAGTTGGAAGGTACCGTACCAACTACGACACGTTGGAAAGTAGGTCCTGGTACACACTAAGGAATATCCAACCAGGTAAATACATCAGAGTGATGAGGCCCATGAAGTTGAGTGGGTAGTGAGAATAGTCCCAGGAACAAGCCCCGCACGTGCGGAGTCCCAGACCCCAGGACAGCTCCCACGCGTAGATGAAGATCACGTAGACGGGCACCCGCTTCCAGGTGCCCCAACCGCGGCTGTAGTGCAGGTGGAAGTAGAGCTTTTCCACCACGAAACTGCAGCTGCCATACATGAGGAAGGACCAGAGCGAAGTGTGGCCACTGGTTGCTCCGTCCCCTTGCCCCAGCAGGTTAAAGAAGAAGGTGAAGAAGATCTCATCTAGAAAGCCATGCATTCCGAAGAAAAGGAAGCGGAGCAAGTCTGGCAACCCCTGGCTGGGGGCTCCCCCGGCGCCCCTGGGGCCGCGGGGTCGTCGCCGCCGGGCACTGGCCGCCGCAGCGGCCCTGGTCCCAGGAGGGGCGGGCAGCGCGCCCCTCCGCTGTTGCAGCCGCGGGTACCGCAGGCGCAGGAAGCGCTTCAGGAACACTCGGCAGTGGTAGAGCGCCAGCACGTACTGCAGCGCCAGGTCCAGCGCCCCCGGCGCCGCTGCGCCCCCCGCTCCGCCGCCCAGGCCGAGCAGCAGCGCCTGGCCTGCCAGGGTCTGCAGCCCCACGTGAGCCGACGGGTAGAGGAGGAAGTTGAAGACGAAGGCGCTGGGACAGCGCCGCTGCTGCAGGTAGACCTTCTCCAGCGCGAAGTGGGTGAGCGAGTGCAGGAGGCAGCGGTAGGGCGAGGAGAAGCCCAGCATCCGGAGGTCCGGGCTGCGAGCGAAGCGCCGAACCGAGGACACGAGCACGTCCAGGGTGATCCCGTGCATCCCGTAGAAGTAGAGGCGCATCCAGGCGGGCAGCGCCGCACCCTCGGCCGGCGCTTCAGCGGTGGACAGCGACTCGGGGCAGCCCGCGGCCGCCTCGCTGAACGGGGCTCCAAACAGGCTGTTGTTCCATTTAGTCATCCTTTCCTCCTGCTAGGGAATTGTACGGAGGGGAACACCTCTTTTCTTCTTGGTATGGTGTGACTACTCCTGGCTCTTCTCACCATTCCTCACTCTCATATATGTGGCAGACATAATTATTGCAGCATTCTTTCCCACAAAGTCCAGACTTCACCTCATAGTCTTGTCCAACAGAGTGATCCAAGCAAACACCATTAATTAATCAACAGGAACTGGCAAGACAAATGAATCCTACTTAACATCCCCATTAGAGAAGGTATATAGGGCATCTCTTTCTTTCTGTGGAAATTAAATGTATGGAAATTTGCATTCACTTGATACACAACCACCCTTATGATTGGGATAACTTTATTTTATGAAAGTTCTCTCCCATGTAAGCACATATTCATAGTAGAGTTCTTTGAGACTGCAAACTTTCTTAGTACATTAAATGTATTGAGTTACACGTCACTATTTTTGAACATTGAATGTCATGAGGTAAGTTCCTATTTTTGTTCAAATTTAACATAACTCTTAGGAGCAAGAATAAATCCTTAGCAAATAAATGAGTTAGAATTTGTGTAACATTAAATTTTCAGTATTCAGCAATGAATATCAACAAAAGTATTAGCATGTCAAGTATACATTTCATAGCAGGGACTCAGGCTTAGTCAATACTGTTTTCTTTTGCATTTGTGTAGTCCCTTAAAGTTTACAAAGTGATTTCATATTTATTATCTCATTGGTTCCTTCTCTGCAATATTGTGTGGTGGGCAAGAAGTATCTAAAATAGGAAACTGTATTTCAAGAGTTAATAACTCTAGAGAAGGCTGGGCACAAATGTAGATGGTTTTTGAATTTAGCTTTCATTTAATTTTGAAAATATGCAATACTTTCATATCTTCAACATTTATAAGGTATAAAGCTACACAGAAAAATATTCCTCTAATATCTATCCCCCATCCACTCATTTTTCTTCTGGGATAATATTATTAGTATAGTATTATTAATAGTTCCTTGGCTGTCCATTCAGAGGTGGTCTATTCAATATATTCTCCACATACAAGAGAATAGAAGCCCCCCTATCATTTTTATGCCAATACTAATATGCTATACACGTTATTCTGCACTTACTTTTTTCAATTATTAGTTTTGTATAGAAATTATTCCAGATCTATACATAAAGAACTTATCTTCAATTATTTTAGAAACAGCTAAATAATATTGCATTGTTTGAGTGAATCATTATTTATCTTAACCAGGCCCCTATTGACAAGCATTGAAATGGTTTTAAATCTTTTGTCATGGTAAAAAAAAATGCTACAATATAAAAACCTTGAATGCAGGTTATTTCACTCATGTGGGAGTATATACATATGTTAAAGATAAATTTCAAGAAATGATGCTGTTATTTATCTTAACCAGGCCCCTATTGACAGGCATTGAAATGGTTTTAAATCTTTTGTCATGGTAAAAAAAATGCTACAATATAAAAACCTTGAATGCAGGTTATTTCACTCATGTGGGAGTATATATATATATGTTAAAGATAAATTTCAAGAAATGATGCTGTTAGGTGAAAAGGTAACTATTGTGACTATGATAGATATTGCCAAGTTGTCCTCCTAAGGAATTTCATCAATTTGTGCTTCCACCAACAATTATGAAATGATCTATTTCCACACACCCTTGCCAAAGATGTTATACTATACTTTTTGCTAATCTGGTAGGATGATAAACAGTATTTCACTGCAGTTTTAATTTTCACCTATCTTACTGTATTATGAGTACAGTGGGACATTATAGAAGTTCTTATAGATAAGAACTATTTGTCCTTCCTCTTTGTGAACTATCTGTTCATATCCCTTTCCACTGGGTTAATAGTCTTTTTAAATGTATTGGCAGTAGCTACTATTAGAGAAATTTGTCTTTTGTGCAAAACACAAGATTTTTGAATCTAAGTGTCACATTCTCAATACTATATTAAACAAATGAAATATCATTTCTAAGGATAGTGTCTCCAGAACTTGCAAATCTTTTGTATTATTCAATGTACTTGCATGTAATAATACTCCCCATTCTTTCTTTCCCTGTAAAGTTATTTCTTCCCTGTATTTAGTTTACAATGTTGATAAATTTCAACTACCCTCTAATTTTCCTTATTTCTGAAAACTTCCAAAAGTCCACTGCAAATAATCCTACCTCTAAGAGTATTCTTCCATATCAAGAGGCATTTCTTTTTCTGAAACTTCTGACCATAGTACTTGGAAACAAATGAACTTCTCCTAAACCACTTTTAGGATTTCAATAGCATTCAGGGGTGGGGAACCTGTAGCCTTCTGATTTCAGGATTGTTCTTTTTTAAGAACCAAAGGATGCAAGAAAAGCTTCATCTTTCTTTGCTGCACCCCTTTTAATAAACAACATGATATAATGGAAAGTACAATGGACTAGGCATCAGGAGTTCCAGTTTTCTAGTTCCAGTTACATTACTGCATTGCTGTGTGACTTGGCTGGCATTCAATGGCTCAGTTTTCTCATTTGTTTAAAAAAGTGGGCATGAGGGAGAGGGGGGACTTTATTCTCTTTAAAATTGTTACCCTGTATTCTAGTTTTGAGCCACCTCTCTTATTTCATTCTTCATATCAGTAAACTCAATGTTCTTTAAAGTCCAAATTCTGGAATATAAAACATCTGAAATTGAAGAGAACGACTGAATATCCAACTATATGGCACGAAATACAAAGGGAAGGCACTTATAAAGTTAACAATTAATCCAGTAATTTTCCAGAAATTGTCTAATCCTAATTTCTTAAGCAGGTGTACTTTCGTTTGGCTTATCTAACATTATTACTAAATTATAAATTGGTACTGATCTATTGAAATTTCCATAGTTGTTTCCCCAGTTCCAGGTGCTGGCAAGCAAAGAGGCAAGAAAGGGACCCAGAGCCATTTCAACAAACCACAGCTCAACCCAGTCACCCCCAGTTAAGATCCCCTAACCTCCCCATCCCTCCAGTGTCAGCAGCCAATGTAATGCATGCTTCAGTCAACCACACACTACCACAGCAGATCTGCTGGCTCTCCACCAGCCATCTTGGGTTGGAATCTGCCCCAACCTAAGAATCATTCTTGGCACAACAAGACAAGAACTACCAGAGACTGAGGTTTCCATGCACATGGCTGCGGGGAGAGCAGCACCCCTCCCACCAAAGGAAAACAAAAATCAGTGAGGGCAGTAGAAACCAGGGCTAGGAGAGATTGCTGGAGAAATACACCTTTTCTCTGCAATGGGGAGCAGTAATATTTTTTGCCCTTTCTTTGATCCGAAAAGTGCCCAGAAACCTGCACTCGACTTCATTCCCTCCAGAAGCCTAAAGGAAGATTAAAAGCCACCTATGTATGGTCCGCTTCAATATCCGATCTATCCACTCCTCAAACCGGGCATTGTTAAGAAAGGTATCTCCAGATCAAGCAGTAGGAGGTGAAGCAAGAGCTAGACATCAACCAGCTCCTGCAAAAATATCTCCCTGTGGCCTGAAAGCAAGGACGCGGACGGGGGCCCGGCCAGGCTGGGTTCCAGGGCAGGCCTGCAGAGGTGACACTCCCTCGTTCCCCAGCGGCTCAGAAAGGCTGCAACCGACTGCCCCGGCGCGCGCCCTGGGAGCAGGACACAGGGCGCGGGCCGGCTGCGGGACTCTCCCCGCGCCGCTCCCGCCTCTTTCCCCACTACCACTTCCCGGCCTCGAAGCCCGGGCCGAGGAGGGTGAAGAGGGACTCGTTCTCCTGCGAGGTCAGCAGCAGGGACCCCACGTCGGTGACCCTCCGCGGCGGCGGCGGCTGCTGCTGGCCGGAGCTCATGGTTGCGCCGGCGGGGCTGGGAGTCCAGGGCCGTCTGCTCCGGCGAGTGGGCGAGCGCTCGTTCCCCCTCTCGGTGACAGGGGCGGGGAGGAACGGGGCCAGAGGCGCAGATTCCCGCGGCTCCTCCGGCGCGGGGAGGAGGACGCCAAAGAAAGGGAGCAGCTGAGAAAGGGAAGCTCCCAGCTCCCGCCCGGCTAGGTTCGTGCCGGACGGTCGTTGTCCTCGCACTCTGGCGACTGCGCTAAACTCTCAACTCCTCCTCCAACCCTTCCGCAGCTGCGGCAGGCGCACAATCCAACATGGCAGCGGGGGCGGACGAGACCACCGCACGGAAGACGCTGGGGAGCGCGCCGGAAACGCACTTCCCCCTTCCGGCCGAGGCGCCGGTCGCGGGCGAAGTGGAACCGGGGTCTGCGGCGCCGGCCCGGCCTGTCGCCTCTCGCCAGGTCGATGGGTACCTGGGCCCAGCGACTGTTGCTTGAAGAGAGGATGTAGGTTCGTCTCCGCTGCTGAGCAGCCGGCCTCCCTTCTGCCGGCGCACACCTTGGCGAAGCGTCTGTGAGGACCCAGGTGGGCGCGGAAGCGGGACGCTCAAGCCGGTAGTCAAAAAGCCTGGACACTGGGGAAATTTGGGGCGAAGAGACGCGCTCCCTTGTGTTCCTCGCCGAGTTCGATCAGAGCTGTAGGTGACTGGGGTTTTCTCAACCTTTGTCCAAACTTCAGCAGTGGATGTGGAGGAACAAACAGGCCTCTCCCAGGATCATGAACTAGATCTCATTGATGGATGCAGCAAAAAACAAACGCACTTGACTTATACCCCCCACCTGGCAAGTCATGTGGGATAAATGTATTTGTGACATTTAAATTCAAATTCCTATAAGGGCTCTGAACACATTTTTCTTGAATTGGAAAACATCTCCCTTGCCCCCGGCCTCTAATCTTTTTCTGTCAAATCCTAAAGATCTTGTTTTCTTTTTATCCAAAATAAATGTGTCTATTTGGGGATGTCATGAAAATACCTTATCAGGTTTAGTCCTTAGAAGTAAATCTCAATTTTTTAAAAAAATGTGTGTGGCTCAGAATATTGAAAGTTACCTAAGATAGTCCCCTTTGTTCTATAAATTAAATGCTAAAATATGTTTTAAAGTGAAATTTTTTACATTATGGAAATGATACTAATACAGATTGCAATGAGTTATAAAATAGGTATCTGACTGTTCTTCACACTAAGTGTATTAGCATTTATTGCCTATACTCTATTATGTTTGCTAAATACTCCATGTCAATAAGCAAAAAAACTTTATGTTAAACTTAATCAAAACATCTATGACAATAAACTTTGGGAAAACTTCGATTTTAACATTTCTGATAGCTCCCAATAGAAATCTCTGATATACTAAACAAATTGATAAACTTATTCCCAATGAACTTTGAGAACTTTATACAAAGTTAAAATTAAAGCTGCTCTTAATGAAAGCTCTAATTGGCTGAGAAGGAATAAGTCTACAAAGGAAAATGAGAATGTATATCCCTGGGTGTTCTCACATAAAATATGGAGACTTCAAAATTAAACTTGATTAAAAATGTTAGGGGAAAAAGTGAATTTAAAAAAGCAACAGGACTAGTTATAAAATAATTTGCTTTTGAAAAACAAATAGAAACATAAACCTGGAGTTATTTCTGAGTTACAGAGCTAACAAATCTAGATGCTAAATCAGTTTAAGTTAAAAATGCAACTCCTGTAAACTGAAAGCACAGTGACAGCAGAAAGTATTACAAATTCTTGAGAAATGATACAAATTAGAGCCCGTATATTTTCAAACCTGTGAACAAGTACAGTACCAAAAGTATAGGATTCAGATAGGCCAAAGTTGTAATTCCTGTTATGCCTCTTAGAACCTTATGGACTTTGGACAAATTGCTTCTGTGAGTCTTAGTTTCTTCATCTATAAAATGAAAATAATTTCTATTTCATAAAGGTGTAAGATAAATAGGGATAATTATACCTGCTTCAAAGTTGTACAAGTACAAAATTATGGGTAGATAGGAGGAATAAGTTCTAGTGTTCTATAGCGTTCTGCAGAATAATTCTAAACTTATTCTGATGACTGTAGTTAATAGTTTCAAATAGAGGATAGTGAATATTCTCAACACGAAAATGATAAATGTTTGAGATAACAGATATACTAATTACCCTCATCTGATCACTATACAATATATGTATTACATCACTATGTGCCCCATAAATATGTACATTAGGTGTCTTAAAATTTTTTTTAAATACTATAAAACATAAAAAAGACAGCATGTATGAAATACCTGATATATCATGGTTACTTAAGTATGAGTTGTTTGTCATTGACAGTCCTTGCTTATGGTCTGTTCTGCTTTTCCTAAACTAAAGAAAGGATCAAGACTTGACTTGAAATATGTATTTTTACCTTTGTTTAATCTAAGCCTGATTCTTCACTGTCCTTCACATTTACAACTCTACATAATTCTCCAAATATATGGTGGTGAACTTGCTGTATAATCTCTTTGTTG